TCTCTTACCCACAGACACAGACACACACACAGACATCTCAAACACACACACACACACACACACACACACACACACACACACACACACACACACACACACACACACACACACACACACACACACACACACACACACTTCCCCCAGGCAGGCAAGCTCCATAAAGACAGTCAATTCTTCGTGTGAAGTGACTGCAATTCCTCTCGTCTTTGTACGACACAAAAGAGAGAATGACGTTCTGTCTGTCTGCCCACTGGCAAGAGGAGAGGGAAAGGAAAGAGGTGAAGGGGACAAATGGGGGTTCGGCCAGCAATAGACAATTTCACTGTTTTATCAATAGAAGGCAGAGTCAGAGGAGAGGGACAGGGAAGAGACATACAAAAAGAGAGAGGAAAAGATAGAGATGAACAGAAACAAGGGAGTTGGGGGAACGTAAGAAGGCCAGGAAAGAGGGATTGATAAAATGTTTTTGTTTCATTTTATTTAAGACAGTGAAATGCATCAAGGGTTTCCAGTATAATAACTATTTAAAGGAATTGATCCAGCAAAAAATACAGCACTCACTGTACAGTGAAAAACAGTGACATCCCAGACATTGGTGTATTATTTTGTGATAAAAGTTGAGCTGGGTTTAAAAAAAAGATTATTTGGCATCTTCTGCCTTCATTAGAGAGTTGACATGAGAAACCATTCAACCTGTTGCCACAAACTTGGAACTTTTGTCTAATAATTAAATATGAAATCATTGTTTGCTGTAGCCTTAGGTACGTCCACACGGCAGCGTCGCGTTGAAGCGTGACGGTAGGCGTGTCTGGTGCGCGACCAACAACCAATCACATTAATCTCCCGCCCCGGACACACAAGCACACGGTTTGATTGGCTAGGGTTTGTACTGGCATATGATTTGATTGACGCTTCCGTTGAAGCTTGAAAAGTTGAACTTTTCTCAACTTTCGAAGCGAGCAACGGAGGCAAATCGACGCGACGGAACCACAATGCAGTTCGGCAAAGCGTGACGTCACCCCATTCAAAGTGAATGGGAAGCGTCTCTGTTGGACGTAACGTAGGTTTCCCTTCTTTATAATTAAGCAGCCGTGGTATATGCTCATTATATCACAGCTAAGGGGCGTGGCTCGGCCCGACGCGAAGCGGAGGGTTACCCAACTCTGTATATAGGAGGATTGTGGACATAGTGTATCTAAAACACAATCAGGCATACACACAGGATATACATGAGTGCATCTGTAAACACCAGCGTCTAAATCATTCCACAATTTCATCCCACAGGTAAAATTTGAGCAGTTCAAAGCTGTTTGTAGATATTTTAGGAAGTATAAACATATTACTGAGCCAGCTTCTTCCCAGAACAGCCGCAGTGTGGTTTATGAGAAAGAGTCAGATAGGAGAAGATGGATGGCCAGAAAGAAGAAGAAGGAAGGCATTGATAAGGAAGAAGACGAGAAGGAGAGGCTGAGGGAGAAGGTAAAGAGTGAGAGAAGATGAAGGGGGGAGGAGGTAAAGACAGGGAGTGAGCAGTGATTTGAACGCTGTGAGGAAGCAGTGAGCACGCAATTACTGACAATCACATTGAGGGAAGAGCTGTGGTGCAGAGGCAGCAGAGCTGGAGAGATAGAGATGTACCAACAGAAACCATGCACTGACAATTAGATTGTTAAAATAATTATAACTCTCGCTCAAGTACTGATATGCTTTGACCCTGTTGATCTTTATCTTAGAAACCATTAATGCCTGCTCCTTCGAAGGTTCATCATATCATATTGACATACCTTGAGTTATTGATATCATATTAACAAGCTTTTTTCACAAAAGTGTGGATTCAGAAAAAGGCTGAAATCCTTGTAGATAAGACCGAACACTTAACCTTGAATAAGTGGCTCCTGAAACACAGTCTCTTACTTTTAGTGCATAGACTTCAGTTATATTTTTGCTGGTTGTACAGTTTAGCCTTTAACCTTTAATTTGAGTCAATGTAGGACTCATCTATTATATTGGCTCGGTCTGGAAATGTCAAGAAAGTAAAGATATACCTGTAAAAAAAGGACCCAAGGTAATGTGTTAGAATTACTTCTTTGGTCTGCAACTCATGACATTTAAAAAAAAAAAAGGCAGTTTATACTTATATAAGCAAGCAAAGAGTTTCGTACTATTTTGCTATTTATTTAAAGTATTTATTATTATAATGATGTCACTTATGTTTCCAACCAAAAGTTTAAGATCCAAAATATTGACAATTACAGTATGTAAACACAATTATAATCTGAAAAAGCAAATGGCAATTTTGTTTGATAAATGATAAAAAAAATCAATTAATCTAACTAACAAAAATAATTGTTTCAACACCCCATTCATTGCACAGCCTATTACCATAATCATGAATACACCCCCCCCCCTCCCTGTGTTTAGCTTTTGTTGTATCTGCCTCTGTTGATGTATAATCTTTTGAGGGGGGTGTACACAATAGCGATTATGTAAAAAGCGAATGTACACACAGACGCTGACACCCCATTCCTCTCTGTCCCACTTGCACGCCGTGCGTGACCAACAGCTTATCACATGACATTAAAGTACCAATTGGAAACCAGCAGCAGACATCCATTTGACATTTTTCCAAGCTTCCTACGGGCCTCATTCCTCACCCACTGTATCAGACAATAAACCGCTCTGAGGAACAAGAGGGAAAGGGAGAGATGGACAAACTCACATTCAGACAACAATGAATTCCCTACAGGCTCTGCAGACGCACGGACACACCCACTGCCACCCAGTAGTTATTGTGTAGTGTACCACCCACTACTCCCACTGTGAGATCACTCCACACTGTCCCGGGTCAGTAGTTAAGCCTCCCATGAGGAAGAGCAGCGAGACAGCGTAAAACAGAAAATGAGAAGGTTATGGGGCAGCGAGCACAGCTGGAGATGCTTGAGTGAGACCTTGAACAAACAGCAGCATGCTGCAGTTTGAAGGTGAAACTAAGAGTGGGGCAAGGTGAGCGTTGAGAGGGGAATTTATCACCCGACAGACTTGTTTACTTTTGGAAGGATTCTCCACCTTACTGTTGAGGTGATATTGGAATATTGCCTTTGGGGCTTGATGTTAACATGGAAAAAAGGCTTGATGTGTGAAAGATAGACTATAATGTTTTGGAAACAAACATTTCTTTGCAAGTCACAAATAAGTTCTTGGCTATGAGTTCCTGAGTCAACAAAATCCTAGACTTTGTGTTTCCAGTCTCTCAAAAGTCAGTATACCCTTTAACAATTCGAATGCCTTTAGAGCAGGGAAATACGTTATTGCTCTTAGCACTGGAAGTTTATATTTATTAATTGTAATACTTTTCAGAACATTTCAAGGCAAAATGAGTAGATGTTTTCGTGGTGTGTTTTTATGGGTCACAGTAACATTCTTTAAAGACCTTAAAGTTGAATGCGACATTTCAGATATCATTGGGTATGGCCTTTGGCAACAGGTGAGGGATATATATTACCTATCTGCAAATGAACACAGATAACCAGCATTAACACACTATGACACTATGATGGAGCAAATAATAAGCATTAACTTCATATCATATATTTTCCATAACTATTTTAGTTTTGTGTGTAAAGGAAATAAAATCTTGACTGAATCTTTGTGAAACGCCTATGAAGTTAGGGTTTAGCAATTAAAGGAATATGTAATGTTATATATGCATACATATTCCTCTATTGGCTAAAGCAATAGAGGAATATTTATGTATATGTCATATTGCAGTTGATCTAAGGACTTGTGGCTTTTCCATTAGATGTTTCATCACCTTATCAAAATGAAACCTTTTTGATAAGGGTCCCCCCTTAAATCCAAACATAGAGGTTATTACATGTTGTACAGTAAGAGGTACCAATAAACCATTGATTTCCTCTGAACACTGATGTCAGGAAGCCTATAAAAGGTTCAAACATCTTACCAGGTTCACAAAGTCTTGGTAGCAGATCTTTCCGTCGGCGTTGCCATCGGCGAGGGCCAATAGGACTTCCAGTTTGTGGGGGTCAAGCTCAGAGCCGTGGGTCGCCAACAGGTCTCTGAAGCGCTCTGTACTGATGAAGCCTGAATTCTCTGGGTCATACTGCAAAAAACACAGACACAAAGACCATGCAAGTTAATATATATAATAATATATACAAAAATGTAATGGAAAATTATAGGTAAATAACATTTAAATAGAAAACAAAAGACTCAAATATGTTTGTCTATAGCTATAGGAACGCGCACTGTATCAAACAAACGCATGATTCTAATGAAGATGCACATTTTGTTAGCAGTCCCTCTCCCTGTTAGTGCAAACATTGCTGTTCAGCCAGACATCAAAACCTCAAAAAAACATTGCAGTGGTTTAGTCACAATTTGAGCTTCTTGTGAATGAGCCTGAATTGCTCAAAAAGCGTCCAACCATTAAGACGCAGCAGTAACTTTGAACAGCTTTGGATTTCGGTATGAAATGACACTGAGCTCTTCGTTTCAGAATGGGCTGTTTTTCTGCTTTCACAGCCAGTATATAGAAGGCTTTCAAATGTATCTGAAAAACACCAGATATTCTGACAAAACACCATTTAAAAAAGCTGGATATTCAAAAGACCTTCAGAGCAGTGAGCACTTAAGCACTTGAATGTGAAAATAGCCCTGCATTTTTCTCAGACTTTAGCTCCCACTCACTCTCTTCTTCCCGTTGCACTTAGTAGCTTAAGGCTTCAAATCTTAAGCGTCAATTTATAATGAAACTGCCACTTGAAAACATACAAATATTTAAAGTATTGTGCATTTTATGTGTTTTATATTGTGCACTATATATCCAGCAGAGCTACAAGCTATAACCTAGGCTAACTGCTTACTAATTGAAGATAAATGAGCAAATACACTTTTTTTTATACCGTTTTTTGTTTCTAATGGGAAATACAAAAAATCAAGCTGCTCTCCAAAGCCTGGATAAACAGAAAAAAAGACTGCAGCTGTTTGGCAGTGTATTTATTTTCAAGTAAGGAAAAACTATCCTGAAATACATATCAATCAAAAGACTTGAATGTTTGATTTGAATGTCAAGTTGTTTGTGGATGCAGGCAGTAGAAGACAGCTGCTGCCTCTCTGAGCGCCTGTTTGTGATTGTGCATGCATGTGTAGCTCTGTCTGTGTCTGAGACTGCCAAAGGCACACNGATGCAGGCAGTAGAAGACAGCTGCTGCCTCTCTGAGCGCCTGTTTGTGATTGTGCATGCATGTGTAGCTCTGTCTGTGTGTGTGTGTGTGTGTGTGTGTGTGTGTGTCTTTATATATTTGCAAATCTGCATTTGCGAGTGTAGCCATGCCTGTGTGTGTAAATACACCGCATTCATACATAAAGATGTGACATTCAGACAATGTGAGCCGCCTGCCAGATTCCAACACCCCTGAACCAGACATACTTAGTGTGTACATGCCTGAGACTGTGTGTGTATGTGAGTGTGTGTTTGCCATACGCCGGGGTTGGCAGACGCTGAGTATAGCCAGGCTGGCAGCTCGACCAAATGACAACAGGGAGAAGAGGTTTTGGCTCTCCCTCATGTTGTTTTTCTCCACGTTACCTAACAGTGGTACGGCTTCTTTTTTTGCAGTTAAGGTTACAGTTGTCTGCCCGCTTTCCACTCAATGTCATCTTTGATGGTTATTATCATTCACACTTGGCCTGAAAATTGATTTTATGCAGCTTGTCTGGCTGCAGTTAATCTGTATGTGATGTGAGGATTATCTCTAAATGCATCGCATCATTGTGTCTTCAGTATAGCTGTTTGGCAAAGTATGCTAATGCTATAGTAAGTATGTTAAGAAGAATGGAATAACAATTAAAGAGGATCTCCAGGCGTCCCCCATCACACCTGGAGCAGACAGTGAATGCAGGAAGGCATGACAGGAGGAAGGATATGGGAAATGATTTGTCCAAAGTGCATATCAGTACAAATAGTGCTCTTGCAAGCTTGAGACTTTACAACTTGAGAAATAAGACTTGGATTATACTCAGAATCGTGTGTGAGAGTTGTAAACCAATGTTTTGATATAGTTTGGCTTTTGTTGAACACGGCCCCCATTTACTCAAATTATGTAAGATATTTCAAGAGTTCAAGGTTGCATGTTGTGAGTAAACGATTTATGAAAGATCAGTTTGGGGTTAACTATAACTTTAAATCATGGTCTGCAATGCTTTTCTCGACTTTACATTGATTTATGGCTGTCTAAGCTTGATCGCATCTGGACAAGTCTAATGTGATGACTTAAATGAACATATCTGGTGTGGGAGGTGTGACAGCACTCTGAGTAACATCATCCCTGGACATACATTCACACACCCATGTTAATATATATAATATGTAATATGTATATATGACCCAATTTGTATATATGTCCATTTTCATTTTTAATTCATAGTTTATAAGACCCAATATGTATATATGCTCATTTTTATTTTTTTTGTATTCATTTCTTATTTCATAGTTTCTCATTATTATTATTATGATTATTTTTATTTTGGATCTTTGATCTTATTTTTGATTTTATTAATCTGCATGAATTTGTGCTATCCAGTTTTTTCACCCTTACCCTTACCCAGTTTGAACAACTGAATTTCCCCACGGGAATTAATAAAGCTCCATCTTATCTTATCATATTAATGCCATCAAATTAAGCATTTTACGTGTTCTCGTATTTGGATACATTACAAATTGGGGATCACAAGCGCAAACATACCAGAAGTCAGCTGTTCAGTTATGACAACCGGTCTGAATGTGTGCCATCTGCCACATGGTATCCACCAGAAGAAGAGGAGGAGGAAGTGTGTTGCAGAAATAATGTGTATATTCCCTTTAAACTAGAGAATGCTCTTACAATGACAATGCATTTTACAATACTGTTAGGTTTCTGCAAAGGCAAATAACTCCTGAATAATGACTTGCACTGCAGAGTCCCACAAACACACCATAACCTTCTAATGAATATGCATGAAACACCAAAACATATTTGTCTCTCTCACACACAAACACAAACACCAGATGCACAAAAATAACTATACTTAACAAACAGGAACCAACCTTCTCTTGCAGTAAAACAGCCACCTTCTGCCGAGGCCATTTTGCCATGATGAGGTAACCACAGCCAAAACCACTCTTAACACTCACCACCAAGTATGTGAGCAAAACAATATGTTGTGTGTGTGTGTCCCTGTCATATTGTTTAACCCAGATTGCGCATGGTTATTCTTATCCAGGACTAAAGGATTACAGTCCAATCCAAAATCCTAAACACTCACCTCCCCCCATTTTACTCAAATACACAATCAAAAACATACACACACACCCCTAAAACCCCACTTGCCCTCCTCGCTCCGCCCCACACACAACACCCCCTCACCCTATATTCATTATTCCTTCCCGCTCTCCTTTCACTTTCTCTCTTCAGAGCTAACATTTGCACTTGCTCAGAAGAAAAACAAATAGTCCAATAAATGTCCCCGTTATCTATTTTCCTGTCACTCCCAGAGGCCGGAAGCTATACATTATTTTCCTCACACAAACACTCCCTCGCTCAACTTTTACAACACCACAGGCTTCATAGTTGAGTGAGCACTGTCTGAAGTCAACAGGCCGGCTGCTGGGGCGCAGCGGCGGAGGGACCCACACTCAACAATGGGACACCGAGGGCAATTTCATGCAAGGCTCACCCAATCCCTTCACTCCAATTAGGGTTCATTTCCTTTTGATGCACCCAGAGGTACATGCAGAAGAGGACATTACAAAAATAAATCTCCACCCAAGACCTCATGAGCCTCACAACAAACTGAAAAGTCAAACTGGAACGTGTTTCAGATTTAAGAAAAACATCTCAGTTGTATGCCTGCAACCAACAACTTGTTGTCATTGTCTAATAATCTTATATTATTCATTTTTGATAAATAGATAAAATATTAAGAAGATTATGTAAAAATTGTACTTTTTCTGCCCCCGATGTTCAGATACTGATATATTACATTTCTTCTCATAAAAGACAAAAAATAGCAGCAAATGTATACTATTAAATTGCTGGTACCCAAAACCCACCCCAAACATTTTTCACATTTGAAATATCTTCTGTAAATGAATTGGCTGATAGTTTAATATGTTTTTACTAGGTCATTACAATAAAAAAACATTGGAGATAAGTATTTTCTGCATTGGGATACCACCACTAATACGAGCAGAAGGTTTTTGGTAATGCAGTACTTACATACTGGTGGTAAGTACTTTGCTTGTGTGTGTCGGAGCAGTCACCAGATTGTAAATTTGATTTAACTCTTTATCCAAGCCTATTTTTTTTATTTCATAACCATGTTGCTGTTTTTGCTCCATAAGGCTTGTTTTGAGACCAGCAAAGGGAGCGTGATGCAAATCCCTCAGATTAAAATAAGTACACACACACACACACACACACACACACACACACACACACACACACACACACACACACACACACACACACACACACACACACACACACACAGCTCAAAGCGAAGCCACTTCTGGCCCACAAGCGAGGTGAAAATAGCACTTTCTTCTCATCTGAGGCGTCATTCAAGGTTAGCCAAGTGAGAAAGAGCTTACCACA